TAATGAGGCATTTCCGACGGATTACCAACGGACACTAATCCGTCGGTAAATTGGTCGTCAGGGGTCGTGCCATCCCTAGTCACTAGTGTGAGGAAACACATCACAATCACAACCTTAATCATGTCCATACAACATCTCATCTCATATCACGATTTCATATCACATACACAATTTCATATCACATACTCAACAGATAAGTCTAACAAAATAAGGGTTTACACATCCTCACGCAATTCACCATGAATACTCATTATAACAATAATATAAAACTCAGTTAATTCCCCAGTTTAATACAATATTAAATCAATAGAATTATCAATTTAATATAACATTCATAAATGTAATAATAATCAATAAATTAGCAATTTAATATAATTTTAATACAAACGATAAAATCTCCAATTATTCCAAAACCCAACTCACAAGTACTTTTCTACAATTTCGTTCTCCCTCTTAGATCATCATTCTTACAAATTAAATATGTATTTCTAATCCTCAACACATACAGAATCTACTAGGATAATCAATTTCTCAAACAGAAATATTCCAATTTTCCCCAAAACCTAGCTTACAAGCACTTTTCTACAATTTCGCTCTCTCTCCCAGAGCATCATTTTTTACAAATAAATCATATATTCATAATCCTAAATTCATACAGAATCAAATAATGCCAATAATTTTTCAAACTGAAATAATTATAAAATTACTCATAATCCGAAGGGCTCTTTCTCTACCCAATTCCCTCATGTAACTCTACATATAAATAATCTCCTTTTCCCCTGTACCTTGATATGTAGAAGCTGAACCTACACAAGATCAGGTTGGTCTCCCTCGCTGGGTTCCTCTCGGTCTGAAGCAGAAAGTAGAGGGAAAGAAGAGAGAGTAGAAGAAAAGAAATCAGAAAATGAGAGGTTTACTTTTTGGAAGTGGCAGAGAGCTTAATTTATAGGCATCAGGCTTTGCCGGAACGGCCCGTTTCAAATCTGAAACGGCCTGTTCTGGACCCTTAAGTCATGAGGGAAATTCACATCCAGAACGGCCCGTTCTCAAACCAGAATGACCCGTTCTGAGTTTGCATTAAAAACTCACAACTTTTGGAACGGACCGTTCCGAAACTAGAACGACCCGTTCTCAACTAAGAATCATAGGCAGATTTAATAGTTTGGAACGGCCCGTTCCATTTTGGGAAAGGCCCGTTCCGAGCCACTAAATCAACTTCTTTTAGTAACTTGGAACGACACGTTCCAATTTTGGAACAGCCCGTTCTGGGCTACTAAAACACCCCTGTAAATTACTAAATTACCCTCATTGGGCTTTTGGGCCCTCAAACATTCTACGAAAATTGGGCTGTTACAAAATTTGCTATTAAACTATTATCAATAATTAATGTTGTTGATTTTCGTAAAAAGATAGCTTCTATTTTACTTTATGCATAAAAGCTTATAATAGCATATCACTATTCTATAAACTTTCATGACCTACGATATTAAAGGTAGGAATTCTACTCAATTAGTATCGTAAATCATTGCACAAGTTAAAACATTTTATACATGGGTTATACTCTTTTAATATTTTTTAATTGAAGACACAAAAAAAATTATAAAGATTTGAGTTAGCAAATGGCTAATTAATAAACCATTGCAATAACATTAAAGATAGAATTACTATTCAATTAATGTTATTGATATTTATTCTTTGATATTATATTAAAATAAAAACTTTCATATTTGTACATTTTTATTTTATTTAAAAAAATTTGCACAAGAATTTAAGTTAGAAAATGGTTAATCAATAAACCTTTGCAATAACATTAATGATAGAATTGTTATTCAATTAATGTTATTAATAACTGTTTTTATTTTCATAAAATGATAATTTTTATTAAACCATAAAAGCTTAGGATAGCAAATAAGCTTTTATGATTTACATGATATTATAGGCGTAGGAGTTCTACTCAATTAGTATCATTAACCACTAAAAATAACTCATATGTGTGAGAGAAACCCCTTTTTTTAAATAAATTTTGTTTAACAAAATAAATTTTGCATAAGGATTTAAATTAGTAGATGATTATTTATTACTCTCACAATTAAATAACGTCATAGACACAACTGTTATTCAATTGACGTTATTTACTATTACAAATTAAAGTAAATTTTAAAGAATATTTTTTCCCAAGAAATAATTTACTCTAAACATAAAAATTCATGATAGCAAATGACTATTCTATAAATTCTTATGATTCAGGTGATAATAAAAGTAGAAACGATACTCAATTAACATCACAAATCATTGCATATGAGAAGATAATTTATATATAAAATAAACCTATTTTATTCGAGGGAAACCTGTAGGGCTCGACTATACCATTTTTGAGATCGGCCGAGAGTTGTTCGGCGTCGGTGCGCGGCGTGGTTCTCGTCCTAAAACATGCAATAAAACCGCAAATGATGAAATTTTAAAACTTTTATTATTGAAGTGCCTCATTAAAAACCTTGCCGACCCAAAACCCTCCTTAGGGAAAAAAGAGTCGGCCAAGGAAAAGAGTGCACTGTTACATCAGCTGTAATACATTTTCAGATGAGAGGAGTTCCAGGTTCTCGGAATTGGTTCTCCCGATAGGTGCTCCAGCTTGTACGCTCCGTTGTTCAAGTTGTTATTGGATTCGGAAGGGACCGTCCCAGTTTGGGGCGAGTTTTCCATGTCTCGGATCTTTCCTTGCCTCGCCCGTGGCTCTCCAAACAAGATCGCCCTTGCAGAATTCTCTAGGCTTCACCTTGCTGTCAAATCTTCTTTTGTAGCGTTGCTTGGTGGCCTCGACCACGACTTGTGCTCGGTCTCGAACGTCTTCCGCGGTGTCCAGGTTCACACGGAGCTCGGCTTCGTTGTTTGACTCGTCGTAGTGGGTTCGGCGGAACGAGGGTTCCCCGATTTCCACTAGGATCATGGCGTCAGACCCGTAGACTAGGCGAAAAGGAGTTTCTTGTGTAGTCGACTGGAGCATGCATCGGTATGCCCATAGTACCTCGGGTAACTGCTCGGCCCAAGCCCCCTTTGCTTCTCCAAGGCGTTTCTTCAACTCAGCTAAGATGACCATTCGTCTGTGGGTGTTCGACCGATGTGACCTTGTGCTGTACTCCCAGGCCGTTTAGGAACTCGTTGAGTTTCCGGTCGGTGAATTGAAGGCCGTTGTCGGTCACCAAGGTGTGTGGGACACCGAATCGGGTGATGATATTCCTCCATAGAAATTTCTGGACTTGATGAGCCGAGATACATGCCAGGGGCTCGGCTTCAATCCATTTGGTGAATAGATCCACGGCGACGATGAGGAACTTGCATTGTCCCTTAGCAACTGGGAAGGGTCCGAGTATGTCGGCCCCCCAAGTGGCGAATGGCCATGCTGGAGGAATGCAATTTAGCTGCTCGGCCGGTTGATGAATCAAGTTGCCATGTTTCTAACATGGTTGGCATCTCTTTACGAACATTGCGCAGTCGGTGACCATGGTCGGCCAATAGTACCCAGCTCGTAAGAGTTTGAAGACGGTCGTCCTCGCTTCCAAATGCATTCCGCATATACCCTCGTGTACTTCTCTCGTCACGTAGTCAGCCTCAGCGGAGTTTAGGCATTTGAGTAACGAGGTAGAAAAATTGCGTTTGTACAACTGGCCGGCGATGACAACGTATCTACTGGCTTGGGTTCTTAGCCGTTTGGCCTCGGTCGGTGTGGTTCCATTTATGAGAAACGCTCTAATTTCGGCTCGCCAATCCGACACCTCCTTAAAGTTCGTCTTCAACTTTTGATAGGCATGATAGTACTTCATCATGTTGTGGTCTTTCACTTGGAAATTGTCGCCGACCTGCTCGGCCACAACTTTGGAGTATTTAAGTAATAATTTTAAAAATGAATTGAAAAAAATCTTATTTTCAAAATTGAAGATCAATGAAAGTTTTCATCAAAATGACATAGTATTGGATGTAATTTAGAAATAAATGATAGATACATATATATGATTTGCAGAACATAATTTAACTTTTTCCCCCTTATTTAATTAATAACGTTATTTTCAAAGAGATGAGTGATTTTTAAAAATTAAAGAAAAGATGTGTTATTCTTAAATTTGAACGTCATGTGTTGGTATTTTTCAAGATAAGTAACAAAAAACACATTTACGCTAATTAGTTTATAATTTATAATAACCTAAACATATAATTATATATAGGTAATATAAGTCATACCTCACACACTTTGATTTATATTTATCTTATTTATATTTTGAAAACACCCATATAATAATGAAAATATTATATAGTGCATTGTTGTGTGTATTGATGCGATTAGGATTGGTTGCATTTGAAAAATAATTGGCTTAAATTTTATTTAATAATTTCAGAGGTGGGAAACTCTGTCATAAATTTAAGACGGATTTTAATCCGTGGGAAACTTCGTCAAAAATTTTAGACGGATTTAAATCCGTGGGAAATTCCGTCGAAAATTTCAGACGGATAGAAATTCGTGGGAAATTTCGTCGGAAATTTCCCATGAATTTAAATCCGTGGGAAATTCCGTCAGAAATTTCCCACGGATTTAAATTCGTCGGAAAGTCCGTCGGAAATTCCTTCATGTAAAAATCCTGGGAAATTTCCGACGGATTTTGGTCCGTGGGAAATAATCCGTGGGAAATTTGACTTTTTCTTGTAGTGATATGAAACTAGATTACAGTATATTCAGAAGTTTTGGATGTAGGTGTTATCCATATCTTAGACCTTATAATCAGTATAAAATGGATTATCGGTCTAAACCATGCATCTTTCTAGGTTATAGTTGTAATCATAAGGGTTATAAATGTCTTGATTCAACAGGAAGAATTTATATTATTAAGCATGTTATATTTGATGAATTTGATTTTCCTATGCTTAGTAAAAGACAGGAAGATCTGAATTGTCATCCTACTTCCGGTAATATACATCCTCCTATTATACCTGTTGTTTCTAATTGTAATATGCCTCAAATTGAGGATACTCCTCAACCTACAAGTCCTTTGACCAATACCCTTGCGATTAAGCTTCCTGACAATGTAAGAACTGTTTTAACTAAAAATACACATAATTCCACTGTTGAGACTAATTTTGATACAGGTCCTAGTCTTGGAGCTATGCCCCTTGTCATCAATAATCATCCTATGGTCACAATAGGCAAGGTTGGTATTTTTAAACCAAAGGCCATGGTAGCTAAAATGGAACCTAGTACAGTTAGAGAAGCTCTTCAATCTCCTAAATGGATTCAAGCTATGCACGAAGAACTCAATGCCTTAGTCAAAAATCAAACGTGGGATCGTTCCTTTACCTTCGCATAGAAAACCCGTGGGATCCAAGTGGATTTTTTGGCTCAAACACAATCCTGATAGCAGCATTTCTAAATATAAGGCAAGGCTAGTGGCAAGAGGATTTACCCAGCAACATGGTTTGGATTATCAAGAAACTTTTAGCCCTGTAGTTAAACATATGAATATCAAAGTCATATTATCTATTGAACTATCTAGAGGCTGGTCAATTAGACAAGTGGATATTAATAATGCTTTTTTGAATGGAAATCTAAAGGAAGTGGTCTACATGAAACCACCAGAAGGGTTTCAAAACAATAATCCAAATTTGGTGTGTAGATTAAAGAAGACAATCTATGGATTAAAAGAAGCTCCAAGAGCTTGGTTTGGCAAACTAGCCTTTACACTTGCATCCTTTGGATTTGTTTCAGCTAAATGTGATAATTCATTATTTATACATTTTACTGCTAATAGTATCACATATATGCTTGTGTATGTTGATGACATCCTTATAACAGGAAACAATGTAGACTTTGTGCAACATATTATCTCCAAGTTAAATAAACTTTTTCCCTTAAAAGATCTTGGGAAATTGCACTATTTTTTTGAAATAGAAGTCAAAAGTCTCAATGATGGTAAGTTACTCTTAAGTCAATCCAAATATGCTTCTAACTTGTTGCATAAACTTAAAATGCAGGATGCAAAACCTGTGAAAACTCCTCTTGCTACTGGATGCAAATTCCAGTCTAAGGGAACAGAAGCAACTGAAGATCCAAGCCTGTATCGTTCTGTTGTTGGTGCTCTTCAATATCTCACAATTACTAGGCCTGATCTTGCTTTCACAGTCCACAAACTATGTCAATATATGCACAGGCCATTACAAAGTCACTGGAAGATAGTTAAAAGGGTATTACGATACATAAATGGGACGCGTGATCATGGGTTGCTCTTTGAAAAGTCAAATAATCTGCATATAATATGTTATTGTGACAGTGATTGGGCCTTTGATCAAGATGGTATGAGGTCCGCCTCTGGTTATTGTTTATTCCTTGGAAGCAACGTGATATCTTGGATGGCCAAGAAACAACAAGTAGTGTCAAGGAGCAGCACAGAGGCAGAATATAGAAGCCTTGCAGCTTTGGTAGCAGAAACTTAGTGGCTGAAATCTCTTCTCACAGAGCTTAGAATAAAAGTAATCGTTCCTCCTCTCATTTGGTGTGACAATTTGATAGTTGTTATGCTTACTGCTAAGCCAATTATGCATTCCAAAACAAAGCATTTTGAGTTAGATTTGTGGTTTGTTCGTGAGAAGGTTGCTAGAGGAGAAATAAATGTCAAACATGTGCCAACTCAGTTTCAGATTGCAGATCTCTTAACCAAAGCTCTTTCTAGTAATCAATTTCATACTCTCAGCATCAAACTAAATGTGCACTCTCTTGGAACACTTAGTTTGATAGGGGGTGTAAGAGATAAGACTGATATAGCTTTTAAAAAAGTTAGTTCAATTGTTTTGCATCCATATATATATATATATATATA